GGGGGGGGGAATTTGTGGGTCTTTTGATTACTTGATAGGCTTATTAATTTCAGAATGGGCGCGTCACAGTGTGGCGCATGCCAACTGAAATCTCGCAGTCACGGCTAGCAGGTCGCCACAAGCCATCAAACGCGTGCACGATAATCGTTGTGAAGCTGGCTGAGTTCATCTACCGAGAAGGGATCGTACTGAAGCCACCACCAGTGCAACCAGTGAACCCCGCCAAGCCAGCCAACAATTTCACGTCGCGACTGCGAATCACAAAATGGCCAACGAAAATATTCTGCGAATCAGACAAGAACGAAACCAGACTGGTGAGGAACAAGCTTCAAGTAGTGCAAAGTGGACTACAGCTGCACGAATTGTTCGCCATTTTCAGCAACAATTCATTCAGTCAGTTGATTGCACGTCTGTTTCCCTTGGTGGACAACACATCCTGATTCCACAGCGAACAGAATTTTAAAAGAGACAGCAGTGCGTTCGGATAAGGCAGCAGTCTGACGCCTTTGGTGGTGGATAAAAGTCGCGATACACGTGAGAAGTATAAGCAAATTGTGTGAGTGTGCATATGTCTGTGCCTGCGTGTTTGATTGCTTATGTACTCTCGTGTATTTTTGTTTGGTTGTTTGTGAATGTGCATCTATGTTTCTGTGTCAAGAAGAGTAAACAAACGTAAAGCAACAGGGCATTTTTATGCCAGGACAAAGAGAAATAAGCGAGATGTGACCAGCAGCAGTATCCCTTTCCCCGCTTAACACTCTCCCGAGATCTCCCGCCTCCAGCGGTAAGTACAGTTGCTCGTGATTTTGACTGTTGTGTTCAGTGTTTTTCGATCAACGTCGCTCGACCGCGTACTGTCACATTTTTTCCGTTGCTAATAAAAGTTTATTGTTCTGGTCACCCGATGCAGCTGAATCGTTGTACGCACCTTCATCGTATTTCCTGCGTCAGTGTTTTACATTTATTTTCTGTGCGGGTGTGTTTGTTTGTTTATTTGTGCATGTACGACTAGACTTTGATAATTTCCGAGCCTGTGGATGGAAGCGTAAGCGCGTTTTTGTCAGCAAGTGCGCACTGTACGTCGTTTTCTCCGGATCATCGCTAGAACTTTTTAATTTTGCAGCACTGTTCAGCGCAGTTATTAAATGCATTTGTCAACGCAATCATCGAGGGGAACGAAATCCACGAGCAACAAATGGCCAGGCGCCATCCGTTCATTGCTTCTTCCGATCGCCATGCTGAAACATTCACCATTCCGCAGGTATCAAGAAACAGGGAACGATGAGCTTCATTAGTGCTGTTGTCAGCAGTGTATCGTTGCTTTGTGTCTTCCCAACTAGAAATTTTTGATGATCAAAAGCAACTTAAAAAGTTAAGCAACTGTGTTGTGTTTTTATGATCTGTGAACTGCTAAGAATCACAACAAATGACAATAACGCAGAATGCAGCCTTCCTCCTTAAGAAACATTGCCAGTGCCAAGCTACTGCCCAAAGAAAAGTCACTAGCGAACTTATCGTACAAGCATGAAACCGCTGCAAACACTTTTTCGAAAAAGGACGAAAAATGTCAGATTTGGGTAACGCGACTTTGGAGTACAAATTTTTGCGGAACAAAAATGATAGAAAATCATAGCCGCTGTCGAAAGGATAAGCTAGGGAAGACAGTGGAGCAGAAAACTAGCACTAAAATGCGCCGACGACTCGATATATTTGTTCCCTA